TTCGATGATGCGACAGGGTTAGAACGTCGGAGTTGCTTTAAGGTTGGAAATTTAAGGTTGCTTTAGATATGCGCTAGGGTTGGATCGTCGGGGTTGCTTTGGGGATGCGTCAGGGTGGGAACGTCAAGGTTGCTTTAAGGATGCGTAAGGGTTGGAACGTTTCCCCCCGTGGGTAGGGGGTATTAGAATACTCCCACAGTATTCCCTGTTCTTTGTAAGAGGCGACTAGAAGGGAGGGTGTGAATTGTGTTTGTATGTTCTGTGTGGCTATTTCTCTCTTTATTCTTTCTATCCCCTCTTTTTCTATTCTTTCTTATCTTTTACTTCCTTCCTTTCCTCTCCTTTCCTCTGGGCTTGTGCCTGCGCATAAAAAATAAATATGGCTGGTACAAACTCAGGGACTAAACCGTGTAGTTGGGAAACCTACACAACGTCGGTGCTTGGTGGTTGTAGGACAGGCCACCCGCCGTCGTCAGCATACGACTGTCATTAGTCTAGGGTAGGCGAACCGGCCCAGACTCTGGATAATGCTTTGGGAAGTTGTTCACAGGTAGGTGACCTGGCCCGCGAATCGACTATGGCATCAGGAAAGGGGGCAGTGATGGAAGGATTGCAGAAGGAGACCATTGACCTGGAGGAGTTGAGGATTTCAGATCCAGATTCGCCAATCAAGACCAAGGGGAACAAGAGGATGAGGAGTATCATCACGTCGTCAGAGGAGAACGACTGCCTCATCGTAGAAGAGGATGCACCAGAAGGAGGCAAGACGCCGCTGACACTGGAGGCAGGAAGACTACCGGAGAAACTCAGGTCAAATCTTATGGGGATAGAAAAGGAGAGAGCGCGATGCTCGAATATGAAAGGAGAAATGTCAAGCAAAATCAAGCGATTTGTTAGAGACTCGTTTATCATTGCCGACGAAATGGAAGAGCGGATGGATAGACAGTCTGGCTCCCCGTTCTCAAGGGCTGAAGCAGTGATCCAGCTGAGAACGGAAGCAAGGATAAGAGACGAACAGATTCGTCAGATGGAAGGTGAAATCGATAGGCTCCAGAGGGAGCTTAAAAAGCGAGATGCTGAAAAACAAAGCCATAGAGTAGAGGCGGTTGCTGCCCCGAATCAAGGGAGGCAGACGCCTACAACAAGTAGATCAACCCTATCTCTGAAAAAGAGATTAGAAGATGCGAGGGTTAGTGATGGTATGTGCTGTGTGATGGCGGTTCTGAGGGACTTTGGTAAGAGTATTGAGGCCCTGCAGAATACACAGTTGGAGATGTGGAACATCTTTAAGGGAGCCAGCAAGCAACCCCAGCGGGAAACAGAATGGACTGCAGGGGGGGGAAGAAAAGTGCTCCCGCCCCGGGAATCTCGAGGGCTCCTGCCCAAGGGATGCCTACTGCGAGTACTGTTGTCCCCCCCTTTCAGGTTGGATTTATCGAGGTGATGGGAAGAAGAAAACGTCGCCAGCAGACAAAACCAGCTGTTAGGCAGGAGAAGGCCATTACATCGGAGGATCGGGGTGCAACAGGAAGTAGCACAAAGAAGAAAAAGAAGAGGAAGAAGAGGAAGAATCGCAGCGGTGGGACCAGGGAGACGGCAGTGGTCTCACTGGCGTGCAACAAAGCGATGTCTTATCGCGATGCTCTCGCCAAGGCCAGGGAGAGCATCAGCCTCAAGGACATCGGGATAAATAATATGACAATGAGGAGGGGTGTCACGGGGGCCTTCATCTTCAGTGTCAGGGGAAAGGAGGCTACTGTAAAGGCGGATTGGGTGGCCGAAGCCTTGAGAAGGACGGTACCGGAAGCCAAGATCGCTCGGCCACAGAAAACGAGGTCCTTTAGGCTGGTGGGTATTGACCCAAGCCTGAACATGACTATTATAAGGAATGCCCTCCTCACAGTAAAGGGGAACGTCGACTTAAATAAAATCTGAGTAGGTGAGATTAGGGCAGGCAGGGGACGTCTCTGGGAGACGGTTGTCTCTGCCCCGGTGGAAATAGCTCAGGCTGTTATCAACAGGGGAGGGGTAGACTTCGGTCTATACCGGGCAAGAGTGGTCAAGCTCCGACAAAGGCCACTGCGTTGACACCGATGCCTGGCCAGGGGGCATGTTGCTATGGGCTGCCCTAGTCCAACTTCTAGGGCAAGCCCTTGCCATCAGTGTCGCCAACCAGGTCACAATGCAAGGGACTGTAAAAATAAGAAAGTGTCCGGTGTTTATGGACGCCGGGCACAGGAACAAGAACCATCGKGCGGGGAGCTGGGAGTGCCCGGTGGTCCTTTCGCGAAGGGCTAACAGTGAAACGTGCGCGTCCGCGGGTGCTAGTGAGGCWCGGGTGCCTAGTGTTTCGGTGGGGGTAGAGAGTATGGAGGTGGACGTAGACCTGTCCACTCCTACAAGGATCGTGAACGGAAAAACTGCGCAGGACAAGGGCTTCGATAGAAACAGGTGTGCGGGGCCATCAGAAGTAGCGGGGGTAAGTAGTGTAACCATTAATAATGTCCCTTAGTGAATGCTGCGTACAGGTGAACCTTAACAATGCGCGGGGTGCGCAGGATCTACTGATCCAGCGTATGCGCGAGTGTGGGGCGGGAGTCGCGGTTATCGCAGAGCCGTGGTTGGTTCCACCCGGTGATGAGAAATGGTTCTCGTCCCTAGGGGGGGCTCCGCTGTCTGCGGTATTGGTAGGTGAAAGTAGAAGACCCTTCAGTCTGGTGCATAGGGGTAACTTCTTTGTAGCCGTTAAGTGGGGGGACTCGCTGGTGATTTYRGTCTACTTTCCCCCCAGCGAGGTAATTAGTAAATATTGTAGACTCCTGGACGAGCTCGAAGAGCTATTGGGAAGATTCCCTACCTCTCTGGTGCTGGTTGCTGGCGACTTCAATGCCCGGGCCTGTAAATGGGACCCAAAGGGTAGCGGTAACCTAAGGGGAGAGTTGCTCTCTACCTGTGCCARTCGGTTGAACTTGCACCTCTTCAACCGGATTGGTCGTCCTACGTGCGTTCGGCCGCAAGGGTCGAGCGTTATTGACCTCACGTGGGGCTCGCCAGCTGCTAGTTGCCTATCGGAAAGGAGGGTAGATGAGGCAGAGTCCCTTTCGGACCATGCGTATTTCGTTTTTGAGTATTGCCACGAGACTGCAGGGGTCCGAGGCTTAAGCCGGCCTGACAAGACTTTCCCTCGGTGCAATGCGCGGGCTGCGGACGAGGACATGTTCGCTGCTGCTCTCATATCGGGCGACCAGACGCGTCCTGGTGGTGTGTGTAGTGCGCGAGTGTATGTTAAGTGGCTTCGCAAGATGTTGGTGCGCGTGTGCGACATGGCACTGCCGAGAGCGGGGAACACTAAGAAAAACAGGAGGAAGGCGTGCTGGTGGTCGCAGGAACTGTCTGCTCTCAGGGCGGAAGCGACTGCGGCTAGGAGGCGCTTTCTGAAGGCCAGACTCAGCGGGGACCAAAGAAGAATAAGGCTGTGTCTGGAGGCCCGCAGGGAGACTATAAAACTTTTGAAGAGGGCTATTAAGAAGGCCAAAGCCACTGCCTGGAGAGACTTCATAGGGACACTGGAGGCAGACCCGTGGGGCAGACCATATCGCCTGGTCATGGGAAAGCTAATGCCATACTCTGCACTCCTGACGGAGATGCTCAAACCGGACGTTTTGGACCGGGTGTTGGAAGGCCTCTTTCCCCAGGTGGAGCAGATCAATGCTCAGAACGTGCGCGGGGTGCAGGTGGATGGTGCAGCGGTAACGCCGGAAGAGGTGCTGGCTGCGGTGAAGAGGATAACCGGTGGGAAGGCTCCGGGACCGGATGGGGTCCCGGGCATAGTGATAAGAGCAGCGGCAGTACACTGCGGGGTCGATTTTGCGGAGCTTTTTACGGAGTGTCTTAGGACCAGCAACTTTCCAACAGCCKGGAAGAGGGCTAGGCTGGTCCTGATAAAGAAGAAGCAGGACGCCCAACCCGACCTGCCTGGCTCCTACAGACCGATCTGCCTGCTGGATGAGATTGGAAAACTTCTTAAAAGGATAATAGTGTCAAGGATTGGTGAGTGCCTGGAGTCAAAGCATCTGCTTTCACAGGCGCAGCATGGCTTTCGCGTTGGACGCTTAACAATGGGTGCCATTATGGTGGTGAAAAGTATTTGGCGGGAGTGCGTGGCCAGTGAGCGCGTCGGGATCCTGACCTCGCTGGACATCAGCAATGCGTTCAATTCGCTACCGTGGGAGACCATCTTCAGGGCGTTGGACGAGAAGAGCCTTCCCACGTATATCGCGAACATTGTTAGGAGCTATCTATCGGACCGATCGTTGATGTTTGTCGGGAGGCGAGGACGATTGGAGGAAAGACGGGTGTCGTGCGGGGTCCCGCAGGGTTCGGTGCTGGGACCAACCCTGTGGAATATCGCCTATGACAGTGTCCTCCGGGTTCCGATGCCAGGGGGTTTCCGGGTCGTCTGTTACGCAGACGATACGGCCCTCCTGTCATTGGGGCGGGACCAGTCAAAGGCGATCGCGAACGCGGAGCGGGATCTCGATGTAATCGTGGGTGCGATCGAGGAGCTCGGTCTCAAAGTGGCGCCACATAAGACGGAGGCAATAGCCTTCCCTGCCTCTGCCCTCTGCAGACGCAGGAATGTTCCGGCCCCTTCCATTAAGGATGAGGGGTCTCGGGTTTTTATAAGTCCTAGAGTTTAGTACCTGGGCGTGGTGTTAGACTCGGATCTTACGTTCAGGCCCCACTTCGCGCCCTTGATTCCTAAGGCGGAGGGGATCCTTCGATCTCTTGGAAGGCTTCTTCCGAACCTTCACGGACCGGAGGAGAAGAAGAGGCGCCTCTACGGCAGCGTGATCCAATCAGTGCTTCTTTATGGGGCGCCGGCGTGGTAGCGCGCTCCCGTGGAGAACATGCGTGTCAAGCGGGCCATTCGATCGTTCCAGAGGAGGGTGGCGATCAGGGTGTGTTGCGCCTATAAAACGGTGTCGTTCCATGCGGTAATGATAGCTGCGGGGATCATTCCCCTATATCATCTTTCGCCCCGACTGGCAGAAGTGTATGCAACCCTTGGTGACGCGGAGGGACCTGTCCCTCCGAGCATTAAGGTGGCGCTGGACGCTGAGGCTAGGAGGATGGCGATTGCTGCATGGAAGGAAGAGGAGATAAGCCTAATAGGAGTAACAGGGGAAACAAGGGCGCAGGTGAGGGCGGCTATTGCTGGCAGGTTGGATGAGTGGGTTGAGAGGCCGTACTCTATGGGTACGACCTTTCACACCACTCAGCTGATGACTGGACCTGTCTGCTTCTCTGCGTACCTTTTTAAAATAAGAAAAGCGGCATCTCTGCAGTGCTTTCACTACAAAGCGAATGTAGATGATGCAGATTACACCCTGGTTGACTGCCCTGCGTGGATGAATGAGCGGGACAATCTTGTCAGGGAATTGGGGGTGGTGCGGGTCTCCCTCTCCGGCATACTCAGGGCATCCCTGGATATGCTGGGGGGGTGGACTGCATTCCAGTCCTTCGCGGGATTCGTGATGCGCGAAAAGGAGAATGCGGAGAGAGAGAGAGAATGGATGAATGGGAGAAGGTTGCGTGCTGGGCCGCAGAGGAGTCTAGCTCTTAGGCGGCCCCCTTGGGCGAGGCTTCGCGTAACTCAAGCGGCGAATGGCTGATGGCTGTGCGTCGCTTACCCCTTATGGAGTGCCGTCATGGTTTGAGAGTGGAGTGGGCCTGACCAGAAAACCGTTTAATGTAAGGTCAGGCCAGGAGTGAGTGAGTAGCCTGCGTCTCCAGTGGGGTTCATGCTCAACTGTTGAGTGCGCCTAGATGTGTGAGTTAGCGCCTTCGGGGAGGAAACTTTCCTGTTGAGAGCGCCGGATGCAGGAGTAATGGGAGTGTGTGCGTGTGTGGGAGATAGCGTGCCGAACTTCCGACCGGGCTTGTTAGGGGAGAGGCACAAAGGCAATTTGAATTGTACTAGTCGTGCGTTGCGCCTGCCTCCTCCTCTCGCGGGTGAGTGTTGCACCAGGTAGGTTTTTAGTCGGTAAGAATCCGACACTCCCTTGGGTACCGAACCATAGGGGCCTATTGAAGGTTTTCCCCCTGACTAAAAAAAAAAAAAAAAAAAAAAGGGTTGCAACGTAAGGGTTGCTTTAGAGATGCGTCAGAGTTGGAACGTCAGGGTTTCTTTTGGGATTCGTTAGGGTTGGAACGTCAGGGTTGCTTTGGAGACGCGTCAGGGTTAGAAAGTCAGTGTTTCTTTGGGGATGATTCAGGCTTTGAACGTCTGGGTTGTTTTTAGGATGTGTCTGGATTAGAACTTCAGGGTTGATTTAGGGATGCGTACGGGTGGGAACGTCGGAGTTGCTTTGAGGATGCGTCACGGTTATGACGACGAGGTTGCTTTATGGATCCGTCAGGATTGGAACGTCGGGGCTGCTTTGGACATGCGTCAGAGTGTAAACATCAGGGTTGTTTTGTGGATGCGTCAGGGTAAGAACTTCGTGGTTGCTTAAGGGTTGGAACGTCGCAGTTGCTTTAGAGATGCGTCAGGGTTTGAACTTTAGGGTTGCTTAAGGGATTTGTCGGGGTTAGAACGTCGGGATTGCTTTAACGATTCGTCAGAGTGGGAACGTAAGGGTTGCATTAGGGATGCGTCAGTGTTGAAACGTCGGGGTTGCTTTGGGGAAGCGTCAGGGTTTGAACGTCATGGTTGCTTTCAGGATGCGTCAGTTTTAGAACGTCAGAATTGCTTTAGGGATGCGCCAGGGCGGGAAAGTCGGGGTAGCTTTACGAAAGCGCAAGGGTTGGAAAACCGGCGTGGCTTTAGGGATGCGTCAGGGATGAAAAGTCGGGGTTGCTTTAGGGATGCGTCAAGGTTTGAACGTCAGGGTTGCTTTAAGGATTCGTGAGGGTGGGAACGTCAGGGTTGCTTTGGGAATGCGTCAGTGTTGGAACGTCGGGGTTGTTTTAGGGATACGTCAGGGTTGGAATGACAGTGTTGCTTGGGAGAATCGTCAGGATTGGAACGTCAGGGATTCTTTGGAAATGCATCAGAGTGTGAACGACAGGTTTGTTTTGTGGATGCGTCAGAGTTAGAACAACGGGGCAGCTTTAGGGATGCGGCAGGGTTAGAACAACAGGGCTGCTTTATGGATGCGTCAGGGTTGGAATGTCATGGTTGTTTTAGCGTTAAAAAGTCGACGTTGCTTAAAGGATGATTCAGGGTTGGAACGTTCAGGTGGCTTTAGGGATGCGTCAGGGTTAGAAAGTCAAGGTTGATTTAAGTATGCGTCAGGGTGGAAACGTCGGGGTTGCTTTAGGGATCCGTCCGGGTTGGAACGTCCGGGATGCTTTTGGAATGCTTAAGGGTTTGAACGTCTAGGTTGCTTTAGGGATAGATCAGGGTTAGAACGTAGGGGTTGCTTTAGAGATGCGTACGGGTTACAACGTCGGGGTTACTTTAGGGAGGCGTCAGGGCGGGAACGTCCAGGATGGTTTTAGAATGCGTCAGGGTTTGAACGTCTAGGTTGCTTTAGGGATAAGTCATGGTTAGAACGTAGGGGTTGCTTTAGAGATGCGTACAGGTTAGAACGTCAGGGTTACTTTAGGGAGGCGTCAGGGTGGAAACGTCAAAGTTGCTTTATGGTTGGAACGACGAAGTGGCTTTAAGGATGAGTCAGAGATGAAAAGTTGGGGTTGCTTTAGAGAGGCGTCAAAGTGGAAACGTTAGAGATGCTTTAGGGGAGTGTCAGGTTTAAAACGTCAATTGTTTTTTTAGGGTTACGTCAGGGTTGGAACGTCATGGTTGCTTTAGGGATGCGTCAGTGTGGGAACGTCAGTGTGTCTATAGGAATGCGTCAGGGTTGGAACATCGGGGTTGTTTTAGGGATGCTTAAGGGTTGGTACGCCATGGTTGCTTTAGGAATGCGTAAGGGTTGGAACGTCGGGGTTGCTTTAGGGTTGGAACGTCGAAGTCGCTCTAAGGATGCGTTAGGGTTTTAACGGGAGAGTTGCTACAGGAATGCGTCAGGGTTAGAACGTCGGGGTTGCTTTTGGGATGCGTCAGGGTGGGAACGTCCGGGTTACTTTTGGGATGCGTCAGGGTTAGAAAGTCAAGGTTGATTTAACTATGCGTCAGGGTTGAAACGTCGGGGTTGCTTTAGGGATCCGTCCGGGTGGGAACGTTCGGGATGCTTTAGGAATGCGTCAGGGTTTGAACGTCTAGGTTGCTTTAGAGATAGGTCAGGGTTAGAACGTAGGGGTTGCTTTAGATATGCGTACGGGTTACAACGCGGGGTTTCTTTAGGGAGGCGTCAGGGCGGGAACGTCGGGGTTGCTTTATGGTTGGAACGACGAAGTTGCTTTAGGGATTCGTCAGGGATGGAAAGTTGGGTTTGCTTTGGAGAGGCGTCAGAGTGGGAACGTCAGAGATGCTTTGGAGGGAGTGTCAGGTTTAGAACGTCGGAGATTTTTTTAGGATGCATAAGGGTAGAAACGTCGGGGTTGCATTAGGGATGCGTCAGTGTTGGAACGTCAGTGTGTCTATAGAGATGCGTCAGGGTTGGAACGTCGGGGTTGCTTTAAGGATGCGTCACGATTATAACGACAAGGTTGCTTTATGGATGAGTCAGGGTTGGAACGTCGGGACTGCTCTGGAAATAAGTCAGCGTGTGAACGTCAGGGTTGTTTTGTGGATGCGTCAGGGTTGAAACGTCGTGGTAGCTTTAGGAATGAGTCAGGGTTAGAACATCAAAGTTGCTTTAAGGATGCGTAAGAGTGGAAACGTCGGGGTTGATTTAGGGATAGAACGTCGGGGTCGCTCTAGAGATGCGTCAAAGATTGAACGTCAGGGTTGCTGTGGGGATACGTCAGGGTTAGAACGTCGAGGTTGTTTTTGGATGCGTCAGGGTTGGAACGTCCAGGTGGCTTTAGGGATGCGTCAGGGATAGAAAGTCAAAGTTGCTTTAGAGATGCGTCAGAGTGGGAACGTCAGGGTTGCTATAGGGATGCGTCGGGGTTAGAACGTCGGGATGCTATAGGGTTGAAACTTCAAGGTTGCTTTGGGGATGCGTCAGGGAGGGAACGTCTACGTGGCTTTAGGGATGCGTCAGGGTTAGAAC